AGAGAGGGAACACAAGCAGGGGGAGTGGGAGAGCGAGAGAGAGAAGCAGGCTTCCCGCTGAGCAGGTAGCCCCATGCGGGGCTCGATCCCAGGACACCAGGATCATGACCTGAGCTGAAGGCAGACGCTTAATGACTGAGCCACCCAGGCGCCCCGCCTCCTGACTATTTTAAAGGGGGCTTCCTTTATTCAGTTTCACAGGGCTCAGTATCATTATCACAACACACCATTTATTGATTTGTCTGTCTCTGCCACAGTTTGTGAGCTTCGTGAACATGAGGGCTAAGTTATATCATATTTATCTCCAAATCCTAGTGCCTGGTGTAATGGTTTTATATATTGGATCATTCAGTGAGTGGTCATTGGATGAATGAATGGATGGTTGAATAAAGAGAAAGAATTAGCCCAGAGTTTATTCAGGAGTACTGGGGAGGTCTGTCCAGAGGGAATGTGGTGAGAATACTCAACCCTGCAGGTATGGAGAGTTTGTAATTTATTCGTATTTAGAGATAGGCTTGAACAGGCAAAGTAGGACTGGTTGGCAATGGAAGTTTTAATAAATAATGGAGTAATAATTAGTAAAAATTCTGACATTGTTCTTTAAAGCCCCCATTGTTGAAACACACTTGCTTTTGTATTTTGTAGTGCTTCCACGTCTCATTCAGAGAATTCAGTGCATACAAAATCAGCTTCTGTAGTATCATCGGACTCCATTTCAACTTCTGCAGACAACTTTTCTCCTGATTTGAGGGTACGTATGCTATTTTGATGTATTGTTTGTTAGCTGTTTGTGGCCGACACTGTGAACGTAGCCTGGCACTAGGTAAGCAGGAGATCTTGATGGAGTCGTCTCCCAAGACTTACGTCTCTATAAAATAGCCCAGAACAGGTCAGCAGATTTGGAAATCTTATTTATTTGTAAACGAAAAGTGTGTAATTCATTTCTAAGTTTGATAACTTTGAAGTTCTTTACAAAAAGATAACGGGTTTTGTTGTGGTATAAAAGATTTTCATGATTACTCCCATAATGATGGCTGCTAACAGCTAACCTTTTTTGGGTACTTACCATGTCCCGAGTGTGTTTCTAAGTCCTGTAATGAAATATCTCTTGTAATACTTTTTCCAGTTCTACGAAGTAGAGACTATTTTCATCACCATTCTAGGGATAATAATAACTCATAGAGATTAATAACATGTCCAAAGTCTCATCACTAATAAGTTCTCTAGCTAATCTAGCTCACGTAGTCCAGTTCTGGAGCTAAGTCACTTAAATATTGTACTATAGTTGCTACACATCTCATTATAGTTTAAATATTCTTGTATTTGTTCAAGGTCTTGTTGCTATGAAATTAACCGCACCAGTGATATCCTGTAGCACTTTGTATGTTTTTGGATTCATCTGCCTTTCTAGAGCTGCTTATCTTTGAATGATGGAGAAAATGAATTTCATGTGCAGTGCTAACCCTTAAACCTTAGAGTCTTTTTATCCTGACAAAGTGGCTGCTTTCCCAATTTTAATGAGAACATTGTTTATATTCATGAAGTCATTTGCTGTTGAGCATATACTGAGACTGTATCTTTTTCTTGTGTTTCATTTTCAAAACAGAATCCAACAAATATAAGAATACAGATTACAAATATCTGTAAAGGCTTCTGCTTTTTTGTCCTTATGTGTTGTGAATTGTCATAAAATAATAGTTTGGGTATAACCTGACTTTAAACATCACTAAAAATAATAAAGATTTATCTTTATAATCTGGATATATGTTGTGCTAATTATGAAGGCTTCATAATGTCTTTAGCTGTTATCTTGATGCATAACATACATTAAGGGCAGGGTTCATCATTAATAATAATGGATATAAACCCATTGTTCCCTCTCCTTAATTTGTTGCTATTTAAAAACATATCTTTTATATATGTATCGAACTTTATTCATTATGTTAATAAAAATCCACTGAAGGCCTGTGAATTTTTTTGGCCTACTTCTAGGCAGATTATATTAGTTAAAAACATCATTTTTTTTTTTTTAAGATTTTATTTATTTATTTGAGAGAGAGAGCAAGTGAGCAAGCACAGGGGGAGGAGCAGAGGGAGAGGGACAAGCAGACTCCGTGTTGAGCATGGAGCCTAATGTGGGCTCAGTACCTCAACCCTGAGATCACGACGTGAGCCAGAACCAAGAGTTGAATGCCCAGCTGACTGAGCCACCCAGGTGCCCCACATAATTTATTTTTAACTTTATGTTGTGATTGATGAAGAACTCATACTGGGAATGGGAGAAATGTCACTTTTGCTCCTTGCTATGCCTGCATTATTAATATTCAACCTGCTGTTTCTTGCCTGAAATAAAGTATAAATAAATGGTTCAAAATAAACCATTTGTGTGTTCTTGTGAGGGTTAATTTAGTTAAACTATTTAACTAGGCACGCATGTGAATTGCAGTACATCGCAGGATACTGAAAGGTGGCCTCTGCTCTCAGCTTTTTTGAAGGCAGGTCTACTTCATTTCCTCGACACCTTACATATAAATAAGAGTGACCGACTTATATTGGGACAAAATGAGGGTCATAATGTTAACTTGTATATTAAACATTGTAATTTATTTCTTATTAGATATTTTTAAAAATTTAGAACACTTTTTGGATTTACAGAAAAATTGCAAAGATGGTAGGGAGTTCCTATATACTTGACCTCCAGTTTCCTCTATTATTAATGTCTTACATTTGTATGGTACATCTCTCAAAAATAATGAACCCATGTTGATACATTATAATTAACAAAAGCCCACACTTTTTTCAAATATCCTTAGTTTTTACCTGATCTCCTCGTTTTTGTTCTAGGATCCCATCCAGGATATCCCATTACATTTAGCAGTCATGTCTCCTTAGGTGTCTCTTGGCTGTGACCGGCTTTTTGACTCTTTGTTTTTGATGATCCTGACAATTTTAAAGAGCACTCGTCAGATGTTTTATAGAATGTCTGATATTTTACCCATAGACCGGCATTATGTCTTTTGGGGAAGAAGACCACAGAGGTAAAGGGCCATCTTCATCACATCATGTCAAGGGTATATACTATCAGCATGATTTATCACTTTTGATGTTAACCTTAATCACTTGGTGGACGTAGTATTAGGGTTTTTCACTGCAAAATACTGTTTTTTACCCCCTCCTTTTTATACTATACTCTCTGGAAGGAAGTGGCTATGCACAGCCCACATTTAAGCCCACCTTGTTGAGAGTGGGACATCTACATACATTTTTCATAATTCTTCTGTATGGAGATTTGTCTCTTCTCTCTCAATTATTGCTTTATGCAGCTATTTATTTATATCAGTATTTACTTGTAGATATCTACTGTATATTTTGGATTTTAATTCAGTACTACTTTGTTGCTCAAATTGTCCCAACTCCAAATTGAGAGTTATTTCAGTCAGATCTTCTGTCCCTTTGATATTTTCCCATCATTGTGGTTTTTTTGTTTTGTTCTGAGCTCTGTGTTACTACTTAAAGTAAGCACTACAGGATACTCCAGGCTCATCTTGATATTTCCTGCCTCAGTCTTAAAATAGTCATCCATTTCTCAAGGAGCCCAGTTTCTTTTATTGGAGAATGGTATTAGAAACCAAGATCTGGGCACTAGGTGTCCTCCCTCCCTCCCTTCCTCCCTTCTGCCCTCCCTCCCTCCCTTCCTCCCTTCCTTCCTTCCTTCCTTCCTTCCTTCCTTCCTTCCTTCCTTCCTTCCTTCCTTCCTTCCTTCCTTTCCAAAAAGGAACAAAGTTATTTTCCTTCTGAAGCATAAGGTCATTTGCATGCATTTTATTTGGAAGTAATATCATGGGTAGGGTGATCATATATGCACGTTTGTCTGGAGTATTATTTTATGCATGTTGTCCCTTCAGATTTAACATTAGATACAAAAATGTACCGAATTATTGACTTTCTTAGCACTATAGGATACCAAGGGAATCTTTTGAAGTTCTACATCAGCTCCATGACTGTAGGAATTCTATTAGTGCCTTATGAATTTAGCATCTTTCACAACTTAGAGGGTCCCTCAGAATCTTTATGAGAAGAATGAAGAGACAGTTGTTAAATGTTAAACTAAGGAGAAGATGGTTTTGGGCAACAAAGGTCAACTGTACTTTCCTTAGTAGTGTGTAGGCTGCCTGTTACCCTGTTCCCTCATTTTTAAAGTTATCTTTGATTAAAAAAAAAAAGTTATCTTTGATTACTAGTCTTTTTTTCAATTGTGGAAGGGAGACGAATGATTAACATTACATTAAAGGTTAGTATCCTTTAAAAAATGCAGCCTAATTGCAAATATGTGCTCTTTTCAGAGGTGGGGTGGGAAGAAGAATGTGCTTCTAATACTTGAAAAAAAATCTAATTTGGTACTGATAAACATTGATACATGCCTCATCTTGTTTAACTTTCACAACAGTCCTGTGAGACAGATACTGTTACTCCATGGGACCAGTGAGAAACCTGGTATTCAGAAGAGATTAATTAAGTTCTGTGTTTTAAGGCACACAGCTAGGTGTTGCCCTTACTTGGGCTCAGGTTGGTCATATTCCTGTACAGCACATTACCCCGAGAGACTAGCCTGCTGTGACTTTGCTGCAGTTTTCAAATGTGTAGTGAGCTTTTCTTAAGGGACAAAGAATATCGTTAATACATTTTTTGAGGTAGCAATAGCAGTTTTCAGTATTACTTCCTTAATAAATGAAAATTGCTTTTCTAAATAATCAGAAAAAGAGGCTTTTTGTAGTAAAGATCTGATCATCCCTCTCCTCAATTTTGTTAGTTGATGGATATTTTGCTTTTAGTATGTATACCTTTAGTGGCCATAAAATAGAAGTGTGCTAGTTAATTATAGGTGGACCTAACTGCAGACAGCTATGTGTTGTTTTCTGCCTGATCGTGGTTTGGCTCTATGCGTGAGATGAGGGGCTTGGTATGGTAGTTGTGAAAATCATCATTCACAGATGATTTGAAGTTGGTTAACCTCTAGACTTTGAGTTCTCCACATAGCCTCAACTGTTTATCCCTGCCCTGAGCCTTAACCTTTTTAAAGCTCCTTTAGTAACAGCTTTTAAATAGAAGTATAAAAAACACCATGCGCTGAAAAGCTAATCCAATTTCACTGAGAATCTTAAATCAAATTATAGAAGTTTTCTGTTATAGGTATTATGCAGTGACACTTTCCTGAAAAGTTGATTAACAGCTGAATGTGAAAGCTTCTGTTGAGGATTTCTTATTGAAACAAGATTTGTTGCTTCTGCATCAGAAAAAGAATGGAAAATTAGAGGGGGTATGGAACTATGCTAGTTATCTGAAACTTGTATTTATTCAAGTGGAATTCTCTTTGTATTTTTCACCTTTTCAGCATTGCTTGTTGTGGAAAGAGTCATATACAGGTAAAATCCAATACATACGTTTCTGAAAAATTGAGCACAAATTCAGCCTTGGTAAATTCAATTGTGCTTCCTTAGTGAATAATTGTAGAGTGTTTCTGTTTGCTTCATTTCCTCTTCACTTGGCAGTGGAAATTATTTAATTTCAATTAAAAAGTTTCAAAAAAAAATCCTTTCATACAAAATTTTCCCCTCCCCCCTTTTTTCTCCACCCCTCTTTCTTATAAAAATTTTAATGCAAATGCATTTTTTTTTATAAATCTGCAGTTTTTAAAATTAGGCTTTCTTTAATAAGAATTTTTTTTTTCCTGTTATGGTAGACTTTTTAAAA